GCTTGTCTAGCAATGCATGTGGATTTATCTTTTTTGATATTTGAGTTATATAACTGCTATTTATCAACTTTGAATATCAAAAATCCCCTTTTCGACAAGTTTCCCAATCCACCGAGTTTTCTGAACTTTCATGCATGAAGCATTCTGATGAATGATAAGTCTTACTGGTTGACTATCATACTGTTCAGTTCAAAGATCATCGTTAGTTATGATTCTATATATACTTGGAGAAGTCGTACGTTTTGTGGTAACTCTGTGACACACGACAAAGTGGGGTGATGGTTGTGGCGCAATGGCTTAATCGCTGTCACCGGCATACTTTGGGCCCTATGGTCCGAGATTCGAGCCCCGCCACCCGACTTTGGTGGTAGGTAGCTTTGCTGTCATCCAATTCAATACCACGCCTCACTTAGCGGGGCCTTATGTGGTTCGCCACTCCAAGTTTAAGTTACCGGTTTCCACCACTGGACCGTAGGTCCTTGTGACTATGGAGTTCGCCCCCTCTGCTGTTCATGAAACTTGAGTGTGCAATAAAAAGAGTGTGGTGGACAGTTGTACGATCCGTATAAGGGCGAATGAACATTTCATTGTAGTATATGTCTCTGACAGGACTATGACAGGGAACCTTTGATCGAGAAACCGGAACCTATCACCCCGGAGCTAAATGCCTAACGGTTAATATGTTGGTGGAGTGACCACGACAATAACTTTTACATACTTTTATCTTGGTCTATGTTAAGTCGCCACGGTCAATGCATAAACCCTAATGCTTGCGAATTCCAATTCACTAAAGCAAGAACATGTTCGAATAATTGTGTTCAAATCTAATTTCTCGCTACTGAAGAAGCTGTTCAGAGCATTGGTTTTCAGCAATGGAATCAGTAATACCAAGCCGCATTATCACTCATTGTTTTCCCGAATTTGACCCAACTGACAGTGATTCCATGACACCGGTTAGATTAACCCCGTTTTAGATGCGTGCAGTTAGGCTTTGGGCTGAGAGACAAAATGTCGATTAGTGTGCAGGATCCTGGAGCTATATAGAAGTGAAAAACCTCGTGACAGAACGAAAATTCCAATACAACAGTTACTTCAAGTCTTATTTACTATTTTCTCTTGTATTCATTTGGATAATATATCATAACATTACATCTACACACGGTTGGTTGGAAATTTATTGCTGTTGGTAACTAACGGATAAAATTGTTAGCATGATTAACAGAAAATGATCTGTGGTGAACGGCTGATATATATGTCTACTACCGGCTTTAATCTTACCTTCAGGATGCGAGTTTTTGGAGGCCCAACTCGATTTAGAGAAGAAAGAACGTCAAAATTTGGTAAATGAGAACATCCGAACGATCGAAGAAGCACATCAAATGGTATGTGTTCTATTGCTTGTTTCATTATCATGGTCACCTTAATCTGTCTTACACGATAATTGGTTTGTTTGTTGATTCGTTCACTTATTCATTCAAGTCGTTGTAATTCGTCAATTTTTTCCATAGAATGCAGAACTGCGACGCGAACTAGCTACTGTTCAGTCTGAACTGGAATCCGTTAAAGCGCGATGCGAATCCGCGTTACAGCTCGAGGCTGGAGCGAAATCTGAAATCGAAGCGTATGAACGTATTGCTCAAGAGGCCCGCCAGAAATACGAGCGTGAACTTTCTCTGCATGCTGAAGATGTTGAAGTAAGCGATTACTATTCAGTTACCGGTCCTAAACGTTTGTCGTCCATTTCTCTCTTGCTCGTAAATGCTCTTCCATTCTACGCTCTGTTTCGCCTCGCTCTTGTTCTCTTCAGGCTCTAACCGAAGCACGTAAGCGAGCTGAAGATGTTCGGTCTCAAATGGCCAACTTGCAGCAACAGTGTTCCTCGGCTGAAACAAAGGCGGAAGCTGCAACAAATGAGCTCAAAGCACAAAACACTCTTTGGCAATCAGAACGGGAGACTCTCATAGAGAAGCTCCAACAGGCCGATAAAGATCAGAGTTTACTTCAGGAACAACTGGTCAAGGTAAGTGGGAGCGTACAAACTTTTGTGGTTTTATCTCTTATCCGTAATTTTTTAAACTAAGTAGTCTGCTCGGTGATTGCGTGCAATTAGTTATCTTTCAAACCACCACAGAATACCGATTCTCGCCTTCAGTGTTTACTATGGAATAAGAGATAATCTCATTGCCGATTGCCCCGGTATGAAAATTTTCGACCTGCTACTTGAGTCTTTGAGCTGCGTAACGCCATCAACACTACCGGTTTAAGCCGAAGTGCGGCGAAGTTTCAGTGGCGTCAAAGCCAGTAACTACCATCGTTCCTGAATAGCCAACAAGGCTTGCGTAAATTCAGTGTTTATGCTACTGTTGATTTCATCGCCTTATTCAGTTTTCTTCCAATCCTTGGCATTTCAACAGTTGACTCAGCAATTAGTCTCATTGCGCAAAGTGATGGAAAAATCCGATGGAATGCAATCAACACCTGGTACGAGCTCAACAGATGTGGATGAATCAACCGGACTGAGCGATTTGAAAACCTCGGAGGATCTGTTGCAGTTGGTCAAGTAAGTTTTTCGTATAAACTGGAACCTTAACGAGCCGCTGTGTGACAGTTGCATGTTTCGAGTGTTAACATTATTATTCTGTTGTTTGTTGATTGGTGTATCCTTCTACTTGCTTGGTATAGCTACCTACGTCGTCAGAAAAGCATTGCCGAGGCTTCCTGTGATGCATCCTCGGCCGAGATATCTCGCTTGTTGCTGCGTATATCAAGCTTGGAAAATCAGAAAGATCATTTACAAACGGAACTCGATCGCGAACGAAAGTCTAGTGAATTGGCCTCGGAAACGACTCAACGTCACTCGGAATTGATGGAACGGATTGAACAGTTGAATCTGGTCACCGAGTCCAACCGACTGCTTCGGCATGAGCGAGAAACGCTTCGCGAAAACCTGGCCGAAATGGAGAAACAGGTAAGACATCTTTTAGATTTTCTCATCTCACTTTCCGACAAGCCTGGTAAAAGCCATCATTTTGAGATTGTCATCTTTTATTTGATGCTCGATATCGAGGTAGATTCCTGTGCACAGTACACAGAGCTACGGTGTATTACCGAACCAGTTTATCACTCTACGGATTAGTGCAAAGTCAGTGAACTGATTCTTTGCTTGTGAGCTTGACGAATAGCATTCTTGAATAAGAAAAGACGTTTGACCCGTCTTCAAGTCTTTTGAAGCATACGTCTCAACATCATCGTACCGCAAAACGCAGTGAAACCCATAATGCCTGCACAATAAGTGGTTAGAAATACTGAGGGTCGCAAACAATGGCTCTTGTGCATTTAATCGTAACCTTAGTCTCCATGAATCTCCATTCCAATCTTTCCTCCACCCGTTCATTCAAACGGGCAGCCAAAACCGCCGCATGCAAATGTGTACGTGGTTATTGCTTGTTTAAACCGAAATTGAAAACTTGAAAGCAGATTTTACCGAACGGTGGTGCAATATACGCAAACTTGCGAATTCAAGAAATTCTCACTTCTACACCGTGTGTTTCAGTCCAACGTACGTTGCTCGAGTCTTGGATATGCTTGCTTATATTGCTTCTTCTGATCTACCGTTCATTGGTGACGCAAATAACAACCAATTATAGTCAACTTTGAAGGTGTAAAGTGCATTCCGAGTAGGGCAGCCGAACTTGTTAGGTTGTCGATTACTCTTTGCGCATCCTCCGTACACTCGAACACGCACATTGTCAACGTACTCCAAATCGCACAGCTGTCTATTCAATACCAACCATTCGGAGTATTCTTATAGTATCCTCCAGTATTTAATCTAATATGAGATTAAACAAGAATGACGAAATAGTGCACACCTTGAAGAATGCCACACCTAGTTTCGAACGGTCGGCATAGTTCGCTTTAGACCCATACCGTACCGGAACTTCGGGTAACCAAAGACCTTTGTAGAGCAACATACTTCTGGNAAACGCACCCTTTAGCTCGAGGAGCAATGCGATCGCTGAAGGCCGGTGTGTGTGTGTGTTTGTGTGGCGTAACTCCAGCACTCAATGCAAGGTGAGGATTTGATCAGAGAAACCGTAGGCTAATCGGAATCCTGTCTGATGTCTAGAGGTATTCGTTTGTCAGAGTTTTTTTATTACACACCTAAGTGTGATGAACAGCAGACGGGGTAAACCCCATATTCATGAGGACCTGCTGTTCAGTGGTTGAAATCGGCAACCTAAGCCCCGGAACTTTGAGTGGCGAACCACATTAGGCCCCGATAGGTTAGGCGTGGTATTGAACCGGACGACAGCAGAGCTGCCTACCACGGTGGCGGTGGCGAGGCTCGGACCATAGGGTTCAAAGCATACCGGTGACAGCGACTAAACCACTGCACCATCATCACCCAAAGAGTAATCATGTGGCGCGGTAATACGAAGGCTATCAGTTTAGGGACTATCCAGAGGTGATTTTCATAATCGTAGTGTGATCCCTTTTTGAAAACAGGACCGATCATTAACTGGTCCCAGGATGATGAAATGAGCTTGTTTAATGAAGCATGGTGCGTTTAAACAATAATAACGCATATGAAGAAGTCACCTAGTGATGGCATCCCATCATTTCCGGCTCTCTCTTCTGCCCTTGAACCTAACTTCGTACCTCTAGCTTAGTGTTGGGTTCATATGATGCTTCAGTCTAACAAAATATCAACAAGTTTTTTATTACACACGGGTGTGTGATAAATAGCAGACGGGATGGACCCCAAAGTCATGAAGACCTGCTGTTATGTGAGGGTAACCGGCAACCTAAGCCCCGGGAAGTGGAGTGGCCCCGCTAGGTTAGTGTACGATGAAACAGACCAAAAAGTGTTGTTGTTGTTATCCACCACCATTTCTCTGTGTTTTGTATTCCATCCCATCTGTCTTCTGTTGTAATTATTCCTACGTTGGCAGCTTGCTTTTTCTCAACCGTCCGAATGGACCAAATGGCACTGGGATAGGTGAATTGTTCTCCAAAATACTCCTCCCAACGAATCAGCCGCTGTCCCCTTTGTGAACGGTTTATCAGCTGAAACTGTCTTTGGCTATTCCCTGACACTGTGGTTCCCCCTACTTCACTAGCTACTCCTGTTCACCAATTTTCGCGGCCTTTCTTCAGACTTTGCGTCATTTGACGCACATCTTGACAAATTTGAAACAGCCTTTGTGTGGTAATAATGCTAATATTTTTTCTTCTATTACAGGATAGTATCATTTATTGTCCATATCGTTCAACCTCGGTCCCCAAAACAACCAAACCAAATTGTCTAACTAATAACCAAGTGCCTAGATAACATAAAGTGCGAGAAAATTGATTTTGGCTTTTCATTGGCTGTTGCTGCAGTAGTTTATGGTTTTCCTGATACCATCGTTTTCAGATTTTCACGCCGGGCAGCCGGAAACGATGTTGATAGAATCTTATTTAGGGTACTTTACCTTTTTTCTTTGTTTAGAAATCTTCCGTTTTCATTTTGGTCATCGTATTGCCACTATATTGATTCACCGGAACTGCATTTAGCCTGTACGTTTTTTTTGTAATGTGTGCCCTAGTTGAGCCAAATGTGTTAACCGGACCGTTTTATATGCAATTAGGACACAGTATTCTGATTTTTGTAATTTATTCTATTTCTACTCATCGTAGCTGGAAAATCTACGCGCTACTGTGAATCCTCTTCGGGAAGAAAACAACAGTCTGCTGGCCCGCGTGAACTCATTGACCAGTGAGCACCATTCCTTGGAAGAGGAACGTGATCGGTGGAAGGAACGCTGCAATCGCCTGGTGGAAACCGCTCAACGCATGGATCCCGAACAGTACCGTCTAGCCTGGTAAGATACCGGTGTCTATCACACACCAATACAGAACGTTTCAGATGCCATATAATGCAACAGTTGACTGTAGCGCGTCTATCCGTTCCGCTTTCCTTGAGACCAATGGGCCTAGATCTCATCTTGCGGTTTGATANCAAGCACTGAGTGTCTCGCAATTAGTGACGCTCGGGCGTCTTCCTAATCTCTTTGTTGTCTAATTCTACATGAATTCTCTTATTTCACCTTGGTGCTACTACTTTTAACGTGCCCATCTCTACTCTTCCAAGTGGACAGCAAAAGACAGCAAGCGAAACCGTAACGTGAAAGAGCACTGTCCGTGGTTCTATAAACTAAAATGAACAGTGACATGCGAACAAAACGAAGTCGTGTAATCGAAAAGGGAATTCGTAAAAATCCACCCTTATCAGATTAGTCCATGTGATCACCTAATTGGACATTCATTCTGCATTATTGTTTTCAGC